AGAACACAGGGAGGGTTGTGGAGAACATGGGGGAGGGAGAGACCACTAAAGGAGGGAGGGGGTGGTGTAGAGACCACTAGGGGAAAGGGGTGAGTAGAGACCGCTAAGGGAAGGGGGGAGAGGAGAGACCACTAATGGAAAGGGGGGCAGAGGAGAGCAGAGACCACTAAGGGGGAGACGAGAGACCACTAATGGAAAGTCGGGGAGAAAAGGAGACCACTAAGGAAGGTGGGGGAGAGAGGAGATCTCTACGGGATGGAAGGGAGAGCTCTATAGGACAGGGGGCAGGACAGGGAGCTCTTTCACACTATGCACACACACACACACACACAATGCATCCCTATACACACAGAAACACAACATGCTTCCCTTACACACAGAGGAATACACAATGCATCCATTACACACACACACACACTGCAACTCTTACACATAAAGACAATGCATCCTTTGCACATATACACAGAAACACACAATGAATCCCTTACACACACATGCAAACATACACTGCTTCTCTTACACACACACACAGAAACACAATGCATCTCTGATGATGGATCATTCCCTTGGGGCTGCTAGGTGGCGTGCGGCAGTGGTGTGATCAGAGGCGGCAAGGGAGCTCTAATCTCCCTGCTCTGCTCCCTCGCGGGCTGCCTACTGATGCCGGGAGCCGGAATATGACGTCATATTCCGGCTCCTGCGGCATCAACAAAAGAGTTCCCTCGCCGTCTCTGATCACAAATCTGCAGCGCCAGGGGTCCAGATGGTGGTCTGGCAGGAGGGAGAACTTCCCTCCTGCCGGTCACTGAAATATTGCGCCTCCAAAGCCAGTGCGCCCTAAGGCGGCCGCCTGTGCCGCCTTATGGACGCGCCGGCCCTGACCTCTATCTTATCTGGGAACTGAAGGGCCAGCACCTCATACTGGCTGGTGGAGCCTCTAATGCAGCTACCACTTGTTATGGTTTGGGGAAACCTAAGCGATTTGTACTGTGCATCAAGCTAAGGGTTTGGAACAAAATATATGTTTAATAGAAATCAGCTGGTATAATAATTATAACTCTTAGCTTATAACCCTTATTTAACAAGGGAAGGATCAGATCTCACACAATATTGCCATTTCTACCCACAGATTCAGAGCATCCTGGGTAGTTGGCTATTCTTCTCTTGATAAATTCAAATTGCCCATGTATAACCAGTAATGGATGCACACAATTTATAAAATTTGATGCCATATCCTGACCACAAAATTGAATATATTGTTTGAAAAGCAGTACAGTTTTACATTTCAATAGGGATTCATCGATACAATTTTTTTGTCAGACATCAGTTAGATAAATGGATGACTTTTGTAGAGCCTGTCAAACAATGGGTAAGTTCTTCACATTGAAAAACTCTCTTCAAACTTTCACCCAAAACTAGGTGCCCTATCCAAAAATAAATCATGCCTAAGCCCTACAGTAAGGAAATTAGATTCTCCAGTGCATTGGAGAAACAGTGCACCAAATGCTAATGCCAGTCATTGATTATGGGGATGTAGTATATGCACCTTCTTCGCAAACCCACCGTAATAAACTTAATACATTGTGTCATTTGTTCTGTAGCTTTGTACTAGAATGTAATTACTTGACCCACAATTTTGACATTTTAAAAGAGCTAAACTGACTATCGCTGGAATCCTGACGCACCCTTCATCTTTCTAGACTTGTGCATAAAAGCTTTTCTGGGAAGCTCCCACCCTAGTATAATTCTCTCCCCAGCTGTTCCCACCTCTTATAACCTCCAATCCAGTACCAGCACAATATTTTGCATACCGCAATACAAAACTAAAGTGGCTCGATCCTAATATTCCTACAGAGCACCTCATGGATTTAAGCAAAATATTAATTCAAAATAAGAGATCTATGCCAGCATAACTCAATACAGAATGCATATATATATATATATATATATATATATATATATATATATATATATATATATATGAGAAATCTCAATGTATCCTTCCTGGTAGAATATTTTATACAAAAATAAATTAATTTCTAGGGGTACACAGTGCATTAATCATTAAACTTGAGGAATGTAGCAATCCCTCTTCATAATCCATGGGGAAAGAGGGGTAGACAGGGTGGGGTGCTTGTACAAATAGAACGTGATCATGGCTTTTAGACAGTACTATTACTAGGGTTAGAGCCCAAAATGTTTTCATTTCTGCCACATCTGTTGGGTGCCATATGTTTTTTTACTGTAATGTGATCCTGGATTTGGAGAAAGTTGGTTTGCACAACCATAAGCTCAAATATGGCATCAAACAGGCCAAAGTAATTCAGCAGCTCACAAGCATTTACTGTTACTGTGTTGCCAGGTGTAGCCATGAATGGGAGTATTTCTGAGTCAGTCAGGTTTTGCTTACCCAGTTTTACTTTGGCACTGGGCGTCCTAAGCGGCTTCTTGTAGATGGTGGTGGGGCACCATAGCAAAATGACTCACTTAGGTCCTCAATGTTGGAGGCTTTCATAGTGTCACTGTCTGTGCGAAAGTCACTATCACAGTCTGACAGAATGGTGCACACATCCTTCACCCAGTGACGGATTGGGTCTAACAATATTGGTTACCAGAGGCAGAGGGAGTCCACCCACAACTATAAGGCTATCATTTCATGTTTATAATAAATACATTTAAAAAAAAACACAAGTGGAAAAAAGGTACCATTAAAATTTTTGTGAAAAAAAAAATATATAATTTTTTGTTGTTAAAGTGTACATATATTGTATTACTGGCAGTATACAGTAGATACTAAATGTAAATACAGACTGTTATAATTTAATTTTAAAGATTTTTTTTAATTTTAATTTTATTCTTTATTTCTTTTATTAGATGTGCCGTTGGAACAATCATTTCACCTGGTACATAGACAGCGGCGTTGCTCTGACACTTGGCGGACATTCCACCGCTTTGTGATGTTTTTAAAATTTTAAAGAAATGGAGGATATTTTTTTTTAAATTATTATTTTTTGGCATCTTCACAGCAATTCACAAAAACACAAAAGTACAACAATTTGTCATTTCAAGCTTTTGAAACATAAATACTGACGTATTCGAATATTATATTTGATATTTTTACATAACATATTGTCAAATCATCCGGTTACTTTAACTAAAATATTGGAATTTCAATAAAATGGAACTTGAGATATATAAAATAGGCATATAAGTAGTATATTGCACATGCCAAATGATGATCTGCATCTTTACTCTATGATAACAAATATCCGGCATAAACATCTAACTATAAATGTGGTCCAAACTCCATAACTCAAATATAGAAAAACATAGTTATGAAACGGATGCAGTGTCTATTCAACATAAACTTTCTGTCGGGAGAGTAATAATGGACTAGTTTTAGGTTTCCACTGCCCTGCATCGCCACGTATTGGTTAAAATAAAAACAGACCTGGGGTCATGTATATCAAATCCACTAAAGAATAAGAAACATCTACAAATATACCATAAGTATGGGTTTGTCATTGAGAAATTGTATGTAGTTAAACTTTTGTAAATGCATCTTTTTGGATTAGCTTGTTTAATAATATTTGTTAAATTGGTCATAGGAACCATACTTACTCCTAGCGGCCACAGGTGCTCCGGAACAGGACCAGCAATCCCAACATGTTAAGGCATCAAAAAAAGATTTCCAGGCACTCAAAGTGTGAAAGCCGCAGGCAGATTTATTCTAACAAAACAGACAGCAATGTTTCGACCTACCAAGAGGTCTTTGTCAAGCTAACACCACAAGCAAACAAAAGTGCATATATAGCAAACAATGCTAGGAGATAAATCAAATAATAATTCACTTATGTCATTACCAAGAGTCAACAATTAGTGCAAAATACACAGATGATATAGAGTATACATACATACACCTGGTGTTCCCACGTCTCCCAGCCAGTGTCCCTAGGATCTCCGTATCCCCATGTCTCCCAGGGTCCCTGGTGTCTCTCAATGTCCGTAGTGTGCCAGTGTCCCTAGTGTCTCAGTGTTTTCTAGTCTATTAAAGTCCCCTAGTCTCCCAGTGTCCCCATGTCTCCTAGTGTCTCAGTGTCCCCTAGTATAAAAAATATCAGGCACTCACTGTGATAGATTTTAGCAGGTTTATTGGACAACGCAATGTTTCGACCTGGACCCAGGTCTCTATCAAGTCTCAAGTGTCACCTATGTATCACAGTGTCACCTATGTATCACAGAGTCCCCTATGTATCAGAGTGTCTCAGTGTCCCATGTCTCCCAGTGTCTGTAGTGTTTCAGTGTCCCCTAGTCTCACAGTGCCCCCATGTCTCACAGTGCTCCCAAGTGTTTCAGTGTCCCCTAGTATAGAAGAAAAAAAATCTCAGGCACTCAGTGTGCCAGTGTCCCTAGTCTCCCAGTGTACCCATGTCTCCTAGTGTCTCAGTGTCCCCTAGAATAAAATAAAAAATATCAGGCACTCACTGTGATAGATTTAAGCAGGTTTATTGGACAACACAACGTTTCAACCTCCAGTGTCACCTATGTATCACAGTGTCCCCTATGTATCAGAGTGTCTCAGTGCCCCATGTCTCCCATGTGTCCCAAAGTCAACCAGTGTCCCCATTTCTCCATGTCTCTCAGTATCCCCAAGAGTCTGTGTCCCCAGGTCTCCCAGTGTTCCCTAGTATCTCAGTGTCCCCATGTCTGCCAGTGTGCCGATGTCTCTCAATGTTCCCTAGTGACATGGGGACACTGGGAAACATGGGTGCACAGACACTACGGAACTGGGAGACATGGGGACACAGACATGCCCCCTTTTGGTGTTTGTTCACCCCTTTCGGCAGATTTGTGTCAGTGGCCCACCCTTTTACCCCATCCATAGACTTCCTGCTTTACTGGACACTGCTGTTAGGGGGTATGGGTTTACTTGAAGATGAAAGTGTGAGATTAGCATAGGGTATGTGTTTCCTCATAGCTTCATCCTATGAGTTTTTCCTCCAGCACCATCTTCATCAGATACATGACGCTTAGGAGATAGGACTGTTTAAGTGTTTTTGGTAAATAAGATTTTGTAATAAGGTCCATCATAATTGTCAGCACCAGGCCCACTGGGCTCTTAATCTGGCCCTGACTAGGAGGAGACTGTCAGCATGGTCTTTCCTCCATCGCGGTATGACCCTTAAAAAGGAAATCTATTTTAACATTGTTATTTAAGGGGACCTCCTTCATCAGTGGCTCACAGGGCCCACTTGCTATTAGGCAAGCTGACATCCTGGAAAGATTAGATAGATTCACACACACTCAAAAATATATACAGAATATATACAAAATAGGTATACCACCTATTGTAGATGTAGGTATGGTGATTACATCTGTAAAACAAGTTAAAACAAACAATCTATAATATATGAGGATTAAACTCACAAAGATGGAGCATCATAGGCTCTATGTACATCACCCTTGGGTGCCTATTCAGGCTCTCGATAAACTCCTGTTGAAGAACTCGAGGTCCACGATAACAAATGTAGATGCAAATTTATTGAATAATAATAATAAAATATTAAAAGAAAATATGAATATCTAGGGACAAGGCAGGTATAGTAATAGAATATAGTACAGTATTGCACCGCAATTATAGCCAAAAAGTAAAAGCAGTAGAACACTACAACATATAAACAATAAAATAATACCGCCAAATAGAAAAAGTCCCAATCAAAAAAGTCCAGTAAAGTGCAAACGCGTTTCAGCCCTTGATAGGGCCTTCCTCAGTGCTAAATTCCTGGAAAAACTTCAGGGCTTAAATAGCCCCCTTCATGTGTTCAACTGGATCCAGCTGTAATTCCAAAATGCCGCCGACCATACCACTTCCGGTTTCGGCAAAACGCATGTGACTTCCGGTTAGATGCGGTCACGTGATGCTTTTGCGTTCCACCATGCGTTCCACGCTCGAGCATGGTGGAAATAGTCCCAAAGATGTCCATATTGGAAAAGGGCATATGCCCAAACAAGCTTAATCAAACATAATGTAAAAATGGAGAAGTAACAAACTGTGAATTAATGAATAGGTACATAGATATTCACAAAACACATAACCTAATAAGTGAAACCAAAAGAATATTAAAGAGAGAGAAAATGTCCAAAAAAGAAATTTTTTATAATAAAAAATCCAATAAAAACTATAAAAAATATATATATAGATAACATATACTATCTAATACACAATACATGTAAAATATATAAATATTATAAAATTTATAAAAAATGGACTAATTCAAAATCTATATTAAGACCTTTAGGGCACATAGTGTCCAAGGTAAAAATCCATTTGCCCTCTAATTTACTTAATTCTCGGACATTATCCTCTCCTCTCCAATTTATCCGCTTTTTCCCAATCACCATAAAACTTAAAAGAGAAGTGTCACCATTATGATGTTCAATAAAATGTGCTGATACACTATGTTTGGTGTATACCCTCCGTATGTTCCCCATGTGCTCCATAATGCGGGTTTTGGTAGTCATACCCACATACTGGAGCCCACAGGGACACCAGAGGAGATACACCACATTAGTAGAGTGGCATGTAACAATATCATGTATCTTAAAACAGGTTCCTGTGACATTAGACTTAATGTCCTGGCCAGTCCGCCACTGCCTCCAACATACCTTACAAGAGAATTTTAGGTGGTTAATTCTTCGTAAATAAGGGGATCATTTAATTTATTTTCCTCCCTGCCAAATACACTATTCACGCCCCCCAGTTCCCACTTCTACCCACAAAGAACCCAATCCTTAACCAAAAAATTTTAATAGAATTACTGATCGCAGATTAAACAGTTGCTACCAGTACTAAAAGGGTTGTTTTTTGTTTTTTTTTTACTTAATATAATGAGCTCCACCAAAAAAATGTCAGCTTGATCAGAGAGCACTCTGCTCAAAATACAGTACCGTACAGTATAGTGATCAAACAGCAGGGCAGGGGTTAAAAAAATTAATAATGGCTGCGGCTCACAAAAAGAGTCAAAAATATATATTTTTTTTACCATAAAAAATAGGGATGGTACCAAGATACTAATCTTTGGCGTGGACTCCCAAATCCTTGGTTTTGCACCCCTCTCTGTCACAGGTGCCTCAATCCAGGGCCCTATTTAGCCTTGACTTGCAGAGAGTCCCAGTAAGGAAGTATTTCCCAAGTAAGTGGATTAATCTCATAAGAGCAATCATTAAGCTACTAGAGTAGGACCGGTCAAGAATGGGGTACACTGACGTTGTGGCAGGCTTATGCAATATATGATCATATAATGTAACTAAACCCCCATTATTTTTTGACTAGGTGAGGTGTTTTTAAATAAAACTATTACAATCTCTAAGATTTGAAATCCTTGTTTAGTGAATTATTGAGAGTGCTGGATTTTGAAATTTTTAAATATGTGTGTGTTTTGCCCCACTTGAGGTACTGTTGCTTTAATATGAGGCAGAACCAAGACTGCCACGTCATCGCGCAGGCCCCCTAGTGCGAACGCATGAAACTCAGCATCCAGAGGAGGAGATGCAGCGTCGCTCGAGAGAAGAGGAGCGACAAGGGCCAAAGAAAGGAGGTATGACTGACAGCTGGTGACTTCACTGCAGCATTTGTGTTGTATGTAAGTGTACAAGTATGCAAGTATTATATGATAGACATATAACAGCAGAAATAACAATGCAGTTCCTGGCTAATGTTAAATGACGATAAGAGTCACAAGAGTCTTTAGCAGCAGGAATGCAGACAAGAAACTTCTCTTAATAACATCCATAACTACATCTGAACAGTTAAACTTCTAGGTACCTGCAGGTAAATTATGTGCTAAACGTTGGGGCCCTTAGGTGTAGGTAGCGCTACCCAGATACAGTTATAAGGGAGAGTCCTGAAGCAGTCTCTGGAGACAGTATCTTTGAATGACTTCTGTAACTGCAGATATTTCCAGAGAGATCCAGCAGAATGTAGGACAGCAGCAGAACAGCAATGGTAATCCTTTCTCTTCCTTCTGCTGACGGGATGTAAGAGCTCATTCACACCCCTGCAGAAAGTTCCAGAATCTGCAGGGAGCTGATCATTAAATAACAGTCTTCTAATTCTCCTAGCAGAGCAGTAGACAGAAACTTCTTGTAGTTGCAGTGCATTAGCCTTCCCCTGTTATTATTTCACTGTCCCAGCAGTAACAGACCATTGAAACAGGTAGGGACACACTTTCTTTAAGCAGGCTCCGAGAACATGGCTTCTCTCCTTGACATTTGCACAGTCGTTATTCGGCATGTGCTACCCCTTACACTTAAATAAAACACTGACACCGATAATTCTGTTGGAGTATAAAGTCCACAGCTTTATTAATTAATTATAATAAATTAACATAATCTAGGGTCATTGTCCTACTAGACATTATGTTACTATGCCCCCACACAGTACCCCTGACAATGACCCTAGCAATTCAACAATAAATAACAACAAATAACATATAACTTGAAACACACGGCCTACCAAAGAGGCCCCATATCGTCCAGTTAACTGTAGGGGTATACCTCGGACACCCCTACACCCCCAGGTTCGTAGCCAACAAAGAGCTAGAACCAACCAATCCTTAACTCCATCCGGCCTAAACCTCGGCCTGTCCATTTCAAATTCCACGCAAGTTCCAATATATACACCGCCCTGTTCCGCCGCTGTGACCAAGCGGAACTGCAAACTAGGGAGGGTGGGTGGGACAATCTACAGGTAAGAGAGGCTCCAGTTAAAATGGCCCCTATTCTAATATGGCTGCTCTTTATATCCCTACTCTCCACCCCCCAAAACATCACTCCCAAAACCCTTCCCACAAACTTAAGCCCATGCCCACTCCCTGGCTCTGTCAAGGCCCACTCCCCACACTGCGTTGCTCCATGGGCTACCTGACATTTGCACAGTCGTTATTCAGCATGTGCTACCCCTTACACTTAAATAAAACACTGACACCGATAATTCTGTTGGAGTATAAAGTCCACAGCTTTATTAATTAATTATAATAAATTAACATAATCTAGGGTCATTGTCCTACTAGACATTATGTTACTATGCCCCCACACAGTACCCCTGACAATGACCCTAGCAATTCAACAATAAATAACAACAAATAACATATAACTTGAAACACACGGCCTACCAAAGAGGCCCCATATCGTCCAGTTAACTGTAGGGGTATACCTCGGACACCCCTACACCCCCAGGTTCGTAGCCACCAAAGAGCTAGAACCAACCAATCCTTAACTCCATCCGGCCTAAACCTCGGCCTGTCCATTTCAAATTCCACGCAAGTTCCAATATATACACCGCCCTGTTCCGCCACAGCACATGGCTTGACCCCCTTAAGCTAATGTGCGACCCCCACCTAAACAGGGCCTATGCTATACCATCCTGAAAACCTAGGTTCAGCAAATCATTCCCCACATCCGATAGGTGAATACCATCCCTCCTAAAATATCCCGGCAGCATACCCTCTAATTCCCTATGCCTCACCACCACGCCCCCCGACCGTCTAATAAAGACTGACATAATTTTGTTGACCTTACCCCTAGATCGAGCTATTGCAGCTGGATCCCTGGCGTGTTTCCACGTAAAGCGAGGCACCATCTCAGACCAAACTACGACCACGCCAGGAACCAGCTCCCTCAGCCGATCCATATCCCTCTTCATTTTCCGAACCAGTAACCTTTGAGGAATCAAGCCCAGATCGTTCCCACCTCCGTGGACCAGTACCACGTCTGGGACCGCCCCCCCGACAACTTTTTAAATAACGCGCTGCAGAGACCCTGCCAGCTAGCGCCCCTCAAACCAAGCCATGATAATTCCACTCGTTCCAAAGGAAAGCCCAGCTGCGTTCCGCATCTTCGAACTGCGGCTCTCTTCTGCGCCCAGTACACATACGAGTGTCCCATCAACCAAACTTTCAAACCTGAAAGGAAATAAAATTAGTTGCGAGGAGACAAATGCCCCCCCCCCTTTCCCAATTTCCTAACCAACGCTTACTTACACCAGCCTGTCAGGCCTCACATACGTGCGGAACCGCATGGATTCCCACCTCCCGATCCGCTTAATCCGCTCGTCCCCCAAACCTAGGCGTGCTGCCTCCGTCGCTGCGCCTATGCGGAACGAGTGCGTCCCAAATTGCTTGGGCTCCAAGCCCAGCCTCTGTAAACCCGCTCGAAAAACCCGCAGAAATTGGAAGCGGGACAGCGCCGTCCCATCAGCATGCAGGAAAAAACTACCAGCCATCCCGGGACGGACCTCCAAGTACCGCGCCCCGCAAGCCACCGGGCACGCCCTTGAACCCGGTCGTACAACACCACAGAGCACCCTTTACCAAACACGTCTGTTTTAGAGCGGCGCAACCTGATCCGCACCCTGTCGTTGCATAAGTCCACGTCGTCGAGCAGCAATCCGCCGGCCCCTTTCCTGTTGGGGCTCACCAGCTCGCCAATCCGGAAGGCTCCGAAGAACGCCCATACAAACGCTCCCGAAAATAGCGCCACCTCAAAAGGGGAATGACACAACCCAGCCAACGCTCCTAACAACCCTTGCAACACCGAGAACGACACCGGTCTTCTCGTGTCCCCAAACTTCTTACCCTTCCGTAAACCTCGTATCGCCTGACGTATCATGAAATTCTTAGTAATGTCCTCCCAACCATTGAACTTAAATAAAAAGGCCAGGGCAGACATATACCTGTCCACCATGGCCGGCGAAGCCTGTCTTGAGAACAGGCGACACAGCAACCATAGCAGCACGTCCCCCCGCTGCCCCTCCGAAAAAACACCTCCTACCTGTTGAACAGTCTCCTCCCATTCCTTCCAAACCTTAACATAAGACGACCACGTGCTTGGCGCCAATGAGTTCCTTATGTACTCCCCAAGCATGACGTCCCGAGCCGCCACATCTCGTCCGGGCATGCTTGCCCCATCTCCTGGGCGTCCGGCGCCGCTTCCCGGAATCGTTCCCACTGAAAACGAGAAAGCGCATCAGCCACCACATTCAACATACCAGGGATGTGCTTAGCCCTAAACACCACATTGAAGGACATGCAAAGAAGTACAAACCGCCGCAACAAACACAAGACCGGGGGGGAAGACGCAGACAAACTGTTTATCGCCTGCACCACAGCCATGTTATCCGAGTGGAACACGATGTGCCTGTTTGCCAACGCCGGCCCCCATAAACCCATCGCAACCACGACCGGAAATAATTCCAAAAACGCCAAATTCCTTATTAGCGGGCTTTCTTTCCACGCTGCAGGCCACTCCTCAGCGCACCAATTACCCGCAAGATAAGCCCCAAAACCGACACTGCCTGAAGCGTCAGTGTACAGCCCCACCTCTGCTGCCGCCGCCGGTTCCCTAAAGAACACCTTGCCATTAAAATCCTGTAGGAACCGGACCCACACCCTTAAGTCCGCCTTCATATCCGCTGAGACCCTAACGTAGTGCGATGGCCAGCGCACCCCACTTGTCGCACGTGCCAGTCGCTTACAGAAAACCCTCCCCATTGGTATCACCGGGCACGCGAAGTTCAGGCTCCCCACCAATGATTGAAGCCCCCGCAGCGTCACCTTCTTAGCCCTCCCTACCGTGGCCACCCGCTCCCTCAGATCCACTAGTTTGTCTGAAGGTAACCGACATTCGCCACTCACGGAATCGATTTCCAAACCCAAAAAACTAAGGCACGTTGTGGGCCCAACCGTCTTGTCTCCCGCCAAGGGAACCCCGAAAGAGTGTGCAACCCAGTGAAACACTTCCAACACCTGTCTACACCGGCCCGTTCCCTGCGGGCCGACACAGAGGAAGTCGTC